CCCTCCGTTTCGCTTCCCCGCTCCCCTCGGTTATGATTCCCTCCCCTTTTCCCCTTGATTTCAATTCCCCCCTCCCCTCCTTTCCGATTTCCCCCCCTTACTTGAGCTGTGGCCCGTGGGCTGTCCGATATGTTAGAGTTAGCATTATCACTTCGTCCGGGAAATTAGAAATATACATCAGAAATAGAAAAAGGCAAGATTATGTTTCGTCTGATTTTTCAGACGTGGTCAAAGATTCGTCTAATTTTCCAGACCGGCCACGAAAATCCGTCTGATAATCAGACAAACCTCTCGGAGCCCGTCTGATTTTCAGACTGCCGTAAAAACTAGCAAGCGCCATGGCCGCATCGCGCTGACCTTAGCTCGCCGCGCTGGCCCTAGCCCGCCGCACTGGCCCCTAGCCTGCCGCACCGTGCCACGTCGGCCCCCAGCTCGCAGTACGACTAGCCTGCTGCGCTTGCCCAGCTCGTCGCATCGGCCCATCTAGCCGTGCCACCCTAGCTCGCCGCGACGGCGGCCCTAGCTCGCCGCAACGTCCCCAGCTCGGCGCGTAGCTCCCAGCTCGCCGACGGCCCTAGCTCGCTGCGGCCCTAGCTCGCCGCAGGCCCCAGCTCGCCGCTAGCCCCAGCTCGCGCTCGGCCCCTAGCTCGCCGCCGGCTCCAGCTCGTCGCCGGCCCCAGCTCGTCGTCGGCCTTAGCTTGCCGCAGGCCCGAACTCGCCGTCGGCTCCGACTCGCCGCCGGCCCCAGCTCGCCGCGCGGCCTTCAGCTCGCCACCGCCCCCAGCTCACAGCCGGCCCCTACGTGCCACCGGCCCTGGTTTCCCCTCTGCACTGGTGCTCCAGCCGTGCGCTTCACGGCTTCACCGAGCTCCACCTCACTCTAAAGCCATCCACCGCTCTCAACTGCACTCCACCGCACCGCACTGCACCCCACCACTCTCTATCGCACTCCATTGCATCCCACCGCTCTCCACCGCTCTCCACCACACTCCACCACACCCGCCAGTCCCCTACTCCTCTCTGCCTTAGCTATCCAGCTGCTGCAGCTGTGCGTGAAGATGGACGCTGTTCTCCGCCTGGAAACGGAGGGTCGAGCTGTCGATTTTGAGACGTGGCTTGCCGACCTGCGCCGACAGCTGAAGGGTCATTGCCAGGATGGTCAGTCACTGGCCGTCCACATCGACGGTAAGCTGCCCTGCCCCCCTGTGCCTGCTGCCCTCCCTTACGCCCCCACGCCTGCTGAGCGTGAGGCATTCACAGCTGTCGAGCTCGCCCGCTCTGTATGGGAGTCGCGTGACGCCACTGCACAGCTAGCTATTAGTCACGCTTTCCTCCAGTCCGAGCGTCCCCGCTTTTCGGCCATAGAGACTGCGAAGGAGTACTTAGGTGCAGTCATTGCTCGCTATTCCACTCCCTCCTCCGCCTCTGTTGGGCGTCTCCTCCTGCCCCTGCTCTTCCCCACTCACATGTGCGCTCTTGAGACTAGCTACCGCGCTGCTAGCACCGAGGCTCAGCTCACTGTACTTCCTGCACTGAGGCTCGGCGCTCCACTTTATTTCTCAGCCACGTGCCTTCCCGACCACCTAGCCACTGCCCGCGACACCTTCCTTAGTCTCCACCCCGCTGACCTTACCATTAACGACTTCGTCGCCACCCTGTCGGCGATAGAGACCCGCCAGCGCACTATCGCTCAGTCTAGCGACACTGCGGCGGACCCTATCTTCCAGGGCTTTGCTCCCTCCCAGTGCACTTACTCTGACATTTTCGTTGCTAACACTAAGACCGCCGCAAAAGCCACAGCGCAGCCACGTCAAGGTAGAGCCCCCCAATGCCCCAAGGGGGAGCATAAGGGAGGGAAGGGTTCTCGGCCCCCAGCCCGCCGCTCGGCCCCTAGCTTGCCGCAGCATCAGCGACGGCAGCAACAGCAGCCGCAGCTGCAGTAGCAGCAGCAGTGGGGGGCCCCGCTGCAGTGGTGGCTGGGCGGCTTTGGTGGTGGTGGCAGCGTGGGCGGCCCTCACAGCTCAACATCGGGTGGCAGCTCCAGTATAGTGAGTTGCCAATATCAGCTTCAAATAGGTCCCTGTCGCGGCACCGTGTGTGACCGTCCTGGTCACACCGCCGCCGCTGCTACCGCCGCCTTGACGACCTCTTCCGCCTCCGCTTCGCACCTGTGCCAGACCTGCGCACACGCAAAGAGGGAGTCGTTCAGTTACAATCTCTCAAGACAAGCATGGTATTATAGATGCCACGTGTACTCGTCATCGAAAACCTTGGCTACAACCTACTAGGTGTCAGTCAACTCATGTCCAAGGGCATTCACCTGTAGTGCGATAGTTTCGATCGCGAGTTTCGTCTCTACCACGGGAAGGGCGGCCTCTTCATCGGTAGAGCGATCTAGAAGCACGGTGTCTTTGTCTTGGACTTTGTCCCTGACAGCGGGACCGCTGACAGCGATGGCGTCATCTCCTTCACGTCCTCGACGCACCCGTCGGACCTCGACCCAGGCTTCGACTGCAATGGCTTTTGGTACTCCAACACTATCCCTGAAGCAGAGAGCACAAGAGCGTTAGCTGTGATGCGCAAAGCAAAAGAGACATGGGACATGGAACTACCACGAGCAACCGAGCAACAGGCGCCAACACGAGCACTCCCTACACGTCCCATCGCTGAGACTTTGTCCGCGCCACCTGTCGAAGAAGCTCGGGATGACATGCCGCCCATTGTCTACCCGCCGCCAACCGCAGCCGCTCAGCTGAAGGCGCATCCTCATGAGCAGCATCGAAGCGCCGCGACCGTCTCCGCCTTCTACGCCAACTCGGACTTTGTACCTCCGCTCTGTGGGACACAAAGCGAGCGAAGAAACATGGCATCAACGGTTAAGTCATCCCGACAATTCACGGCTCTTCGACACTATTCACGCTAATGTGCTTGACAAGGATGCACTCTTGCTTCTCGATGGCCATGAACTCCGACGACCATGATGCAACTGCATTATCTGCCTCGAAGCAGATCTACCATGCCAACTGTTTCCGTCGCATCACAACTCAAGCGCACCTGAGTATACTCCTCTCGAGAAGGTATACAGTGACATACTATATATCCCACGCGAACTCGGACGAGCTGACCTCAACTTCGTCATCACCTTCGTCGATGCCGCCACACGCTACACCTGGCACCTTAATCTGCCGTCCCGTGACCTCGCCTTCTCCGCCTTCAAGCTAAAAAAAAAACAAACAGACGGGGCGATGGAATACCAGTTACAGTGCTTCAAGGACTATCTTGCTGAGCGGGGAATCAAGAGGCATGTAACCCTCCCCTACACTCACCCACAGAACGGTGTAGCTGAGAGGATGAACATGACCCTCCAGAAGACCATGCGGAAGCTGCTCACTGGTATTTGCCTGCCCAATTCGCAATGGCCGGAGGCGATGAATCACGCTGTAATGCTGTAGAATCTTCTGTCGTCAAGCTCCCTGCCAAATAACGCATCACCGCATTTGCTGTGGACAGGGAAGCATGGCAGTACAAAATTTTTACGAGTCTTCGGCTGCATGGCACAGTACCGCCCGCACACTGCACGAGTTGGGACGATTTTTGCAGCAGGCACGATGGGGACTACATCTCGGTGTAGAAAAACATTACAAGGCATAGAAAATCTTCGACGTGGAGAGCAAGGAAACACTACCGGCACGTGATGTGATCTTCTACGAGAACCTCATCCTCAACCACTACCTCGACAGCATCGCTACTAATCAGGACCCGTCTGGTGGCTTCACTGTTGCACGGGCGTTCGCCTTGGAAGGCAAAAAAGCTGACCTGGACGAACAGAACATTCCGGACGCATCTGCAACTGCAGAACCTCTACTCTGCTGCTCCGTCGACGTTCCGATGGACGACGACAACCCTCGCGACAGTGCGAACGCTGAGGTGTATTACCATTTCGCTGACTAGGTTACGTTGCCCCACACCGAGTCGACAGCAATGTTTCCGAATGCGTAGGGCCTGATTTCCGACCTGACACTGAAGCAAGAGACGAAGAAGCGAAGATTGCCGAGTTACCGAGCTTTTCCCTTTTCTGCGACAACCTATTGGCAATCAGGATCACCAACAAAAAGGCTTTGTAGAAAACGTGTGAGCGAGGAAAGTGGCTCTGATAACTGGGTGTTATGAATGAACAAGCAGAGTGGCACGGAAATGAATATCAAAGTATTGAATAACTGATTGACGATATAAGGAATGGCAAGCCAAAATATATGAACACCAGCGCTAGTCTAGACGTGAGATTTGAGAGTTTGGGAAAGGGTCGCGAAGTAACGAAGTGAGGCCCGGAGAACTCCCGAATGTCGAACTAGAAGGTCTGGAAAAGCCGAGGCGATTCTGTTAGAAAGGTCTGGAACCGAACCAAGGCTTCGTGTGCGTTCGAGCATACGTGATAGCAGTACGGCTCGGTATGGAAGGGAAAATTCCTTACATTGACCTTTCATGTAACTGGGACGCGCCGCCTGGTAGATTCGTTTTCTTCAAAGCCTGATGAGGTGTAGATGATAAACCCCTTTCACAAAACCTTGACTGGGCAGGACTGGGAATGCCCTTCCTGTCTAGGCTTCTGTAAAACCTCACAAAACCTCGTCCGTCGATCTTCTGCCATTCGCACGCCACATTCTGGGCGCGGTACAGTATGAGAATTCGCGTTGGTCAACGTGGTCTATGGAGGAATTCTGGGGGTTTGCCACACAGACCCATCCGCAGGAAAGTTCACCGTTTGCGACGGGGTCCCTTGTGCGACATCATATACGATCGCAGATTTCCGGTTTCCGGCTTCGCGTTGAGTTTCGCATGCCCTGAGCTCGAGCGAAAGCAACCGGCGAGATCTCCGGAAATTCTGTTACTGTCGCCAGCTCAACATACCCTGATCTTGTACACAGAAACGACCCGTTGGCCCAAATCCGCATGAAATACCCCATTCTGAAACCTGTTTGTCCATTCGAGATTGGTCCCTAGAACGGCCATTCTGAATGGCCAGCTGCTCGCTTTGAAACTAGCAACGCCTGTCATCGGCTCCTTGTTCCGCTCTGTCACCGACCCCGCTGCTCGGCTTAGACTCCATCCGCCAACGCTCTCCGGCGCCATCCCTTGGAGGCGAAAGGTTGCGACTGTCGCGTTCCCTCGTGTCAAATTCCCTAGTGCGGCGCGGATCCTCGCGAGCGGCCGTGCCGCAATGGTAACCAGCGCGAGTCCAGCTGCTAGGAGTTCCACCGGGCTCGCGTTCGTGTTCGACGCGCACTCACTGCGATGGCGGGCCGCCAGCAACCTGCTGCTGAACGGCGCTGACTCGGAGTCCCAGTCGGACACCAGCAACCGCCGCAGATGGCGCTTGTTACAAGAGCCGTTCTGCCCGTCGCGCGCGAGACTGTGGACCACGGACGACCTGCCGCGCCTTGCGACGGACGACCTGCCCAGGCCGTGCGGGGAGACGCGTGCAGAAGTGGAGCGCCCAGTGGCGCGGGTATCCCTTGAGTCAACTCACAATCCAAGGGCCTCTGACCCTCGTTCCCCCTCCGACCCGCCTTCGTCATCCACGCTACAATCGCCGCCTGCAATCGGCGCAGCAGTGCAATCACCAAGAGCGGCAGAAGCAACACCAGCAGCAGCAGCACCAGCAGAAGCGTCGGAAGCAGCAGCAGGGGACGCGGCAGCACAGGGGCGGCGGCGAGCAGGTCCCTTCCTGGGCGACGAGCTGCTGGGCATGGAGCAGCTGACGGGCGTGGTGCGGGGCACCCTTCGCTTCTGTTGCTCCGATGACTCCCACTGGCCCCACGGCGACGGCTCGTTCCTATCCTCGGACGACCGTTGCAAGATCCGATCCCTCTGGGACCCCACGGAGTTTCATACGCGTTTAGAGCAGCTGCTGACACGAAACCAGAAGCACGTCACGGTGACGTCCCTTCACATCCCCGCGTCTCTCGTCTCTGACCAGCCGTGGCTGCTCAAGCGGCTGATGCGGGTCGTCTCGCAGTCGTGCGCCAGCCTGCAGTCGCTGTGCCTCCAGGCGCAGCCAGAGCGCGGGTGGTGTCCGTTGCACGAGGATTTGAGGGAGCCCAGGGATTGGGGATGGAAGAAGCCAGCTCAGCTGGAACAGGTGGGGCAGCTTATAACGGCTTGCCCCCACCTGCGCTCGCTACACTTCAACCTCAATAACAAATACATCGATATAAGTGAGGAAGTCGCACCGCTCCTCTCCCATCTCGCCCACCTCTCCCTCCCTCTCTGCAACCTCCCTCCCTGCCTCCTTCCCCACCTCTCCTCCCTCCGCTCCCTCCATCTCTCCCTCTCTGCACCCCACCATCCCCTCCTCCTCTCCGGCGTCCCCTTCCACTCTCTCTCCCGCCTCTCCCTCCTCCACCTCTCCCTTGGCTCTTTTGCCTCGGGGCTGTCCGAGCCTCTCTCCCCGGACCTGTTTGCTGGGCTCGGACCGAGCCTGCGGTCCTTGACTTTCCTCGTGTGTGCGAAGCAGAAAGGGCCCGCAGAGAAAAGGAGAAGATACCGTGATGGGAGAGCGGATAAGGGAGGGGATGGGGGAGGGGATGGGGGACGAAAGGGGCAGAGGAGTGGAGGAGGGAGTGGGAAGGAGGTGGAGGAGGATGGCGGATGGGTGGGGGACGCGTGGGGTCGGGAGGACGAGGTGGTGTGCTGGGTGCCTGGCTCGGTGTGGTCGCTCTCTCGCCTGCAGCAGCTGACCACCAACGTGGGAGGCGCGTGGGATAGCACGGGACTAAATGTCCTCTTCCCACCCCATGCCTCTCACTCAACCCCTCCCTCCGCCTCCTGCTCCTGCTGCTGCTGCTGCTCCTCCTCCTCCTCTTCGTTGCACCAGCACCAGCAGCACCACCAGTGCCTAGCCTCCCTTCCTAGCCTCACCTCTCTTTCCCTCCCCTCTCACCGCACCTTCCCTCCGTGCCTCTCCTCCCTCTCCTCCCTCACTCACCTCTCCATCCCCCTCGCCGCCCCTCTCCTGTCCCCCCATTCCCTCGCGCTCTTCTCCCACTGCCCCCGCTTGACTCACCTGCACGCGTGCGGGGAGGGCCCCACCGAACCCGAACCTGGTCTCGCCGAGCCTCCATTCTGCCACGAAGCAGTCCCTTTCTCCGGCTCCCTCCGCCACGTGACCCTCACGGGGACAGCTGGCGTGATCCCATTGGCTGTATGGGGACGCCTGTGCCCCCAGCTGCAGACGCTCAAGATCCATGGCTCGCCCCACGTGGCGGTGCAGGGGCGGGGGGAGCAGATGGGGGAGCATTCTGGGGAGGGGGATGTGGGGCAGGGCGCATGTGGTGAAGGGGAGGACGCATGTGGTGCAGGTGGTGCAGCAGCGTGCTTCTTCCCTTTGCTTGAGGAGCTTGTGCTGCGCAGCGTGAGAAGCCATGGGCAGGCAGGGTCAGAGCAGCTGGCTCGGCAGCAGCAGCCGGCCCAGCAGGCGCATACTCTTGCATTCATGGGCCATCTGCCCTGCCTAACCCACTTGGCCATCGAAGATACTTCCCACCCCCCCCTGCACGCCCCCACCATCCTCGCCGCCCTCCTCCCCAGCCTCACCTTCCTCCGCGTCCACTCTCCCCCACCTGGCCCCCTCCCCGTGCTGCCTAAGCTGCGAGCGCTCATAGTCGGGTCGTACCCTCACACCTCGCGCTTCCTCTCCGCCCTCTCCCTCTTCCCCTCCCTCTCCTCCCTCCGCATCCTCAACCTCTCCATGCACAACTACCACTCCGCCCTCTCCTGCCCTCCCTCACTCAAATGCCTCCAAATTTGCCACTCCGCCACTCCTCTCCTCCCCGACTCCCTCCGCCTCTTCTCCTCCCTCACTCGCCTCGACCTCTTCCAGTGTGTGCCGCTCCGCGCCCTCCCCTCCTTCCTCTCCGCCTTCTCCTCCCTCGCCCACTTCTCCTTCGACCATGACTATTATCACCCAGTGGTTGTGCCCATGGGCCTTGAAGGGTACCTCCAGGGGAAGAGGTGGGCGCAAGAGAAGGAGGAGGGAGAGTGGAGGGAGTGGGGTGGGATGGAGAAGCAAGAGAGGAGATGGAGGAGGGAGTGGATGGGGGCAAAGGAGAGGAGGAGGATTCGGTTTCAGAGTGTGTTTAAGGAGTCATCGTTGAGTGAGGCGCAGAAGGAGGAGCAGAGGGAGTGGTGGATTCAGGTGGGGAAAGAGGAGGAGGAGGAGGGAGGGTACCAGTCGTTGCATCAGGGTGCAAGAGGAGAGGAGGATGACAAGCAGCAGCAGCAGCAGCAGCAGCAGGCGGAGCAGGGGGCGAAGTTGGTGCGAGGGGCACAGAAGGTGGATCTGAGAGCCATAACGACGAAGCAGCATGGCACGAATCAAGACCCGCAAAACCACTCGCGGTTACCAGCAGAGGAGCTGCAGGATGGGCGGCATGACAGCAGCAGCATGAGCAGCAGAAGCGCTAACACCAGCTCCAGCACCAGCACTACCAACAATGGTAAGCCGCCGCCGCAGTTATCAGCAGAGGTGCTACAGGCCGTGCTGCAGCGGCTGCAGGGGCCTATGGAGGAGGCACGAGTGAGCGGTGTGTGCCGCGAGTGGCGCCGCTGGTGCCGCCTCCACACCTCTTGCTTCGCCTTTGCCCTCCACCCCCTCTTGCTGTCCTGGGTTCCCCTCGCCCTGCTCCAACCCCCTCCTTCCTCCCCCTCCTCCTCGTCCTCCTCCTCCTCCACCTCCTCCTCCTTCTCTCTTAATCTAGTCTGCAGAAGCGGCAGCAGGAGGCGCGAGCACAGGATGACAAGTCTCAACGGTCCGCCCCTTTTCTCCTCCACATGGCACCCCGCTGACTCCCCCTTCTGGGTCATCCACTCCCCCCCTCCACCCGCTCCTTCTCCCTGCTCCCCTCCTCCTCCGCTCCCTTCACCATCCCCCCTCCCATCGCCCCCTGCTCCCTCTCCACCTGCTTCACACACCTGCTGCACAGGTGGCGTCCTTTGTCCCCCATCTGGTTCTCCCCCGTCTGGTTCGCCTCGCTCCCCTCGCCCGCCTCCCTCGCCCGGACCATCGCCCTCTACCCCAGCCTCTCTGCGCTCGTCCTGCCCTTAGTCTCCACCGCTGCCCGCCCCCTCCGCCCCTCCCACGTGCGCCCTCTCCTCTCCGCTGCCGCCGCTCAGCCCGCCCTCTCCTCGCTGTCCGTGCTGCTGGAGGACGGGTATAGGGACTACTGGGAGCGGGGGTATGGGCGGGAGGAATGGCTGAAGCTGGGAGCGAAGGAGATGGAGAGGGAGATGAGGCGATGGTGGGGCGAGGCGAACGGGGAGGTGGAGAGAGGGCTGTTTGCGGTGGTGAAGAGGTGCCGGGGACTGCAGCAGCTGCATGTACAGGGGGAGAATCTCGCCAACAGACTAAAACTCCCTGCCAACCTCTTCCACCGCTGCCCGCAACTCACTGCTCTCTCCCTCCCCCTCTCCCGCCTCCCCGCCTCCCTCCTCTTCCTCCCTCGCCTCACCTCCCTCTCCCTTGCCCTCCCTGCAGATCACATGCCGCCCCAGTTCGCCCACTCTGCCCCCTTGGCGCACCTGCGCTCGCTGCGCGCCCTCTCCCTGCACGTGCAAGACATCTTCAGCCTCCAGTGTACCAGCATGGACGCCAGCAGCTGGAACAGCGTCTCACCCGACCTCCTCCTCGGACTGCCGCACCTCACCTCGCTCTCCCTCTCCCTCCCCACCGACACCATTCCTGATTCCTTCTCCTGCCTCACTGCCCTCACTCGCCTGAAAACCAACCTGTGGATCCCGGGACTGGAGGACGAGGGAGGGGTGGGAGAGGAGGGGGAGGAGGAGGTAGCGGAGGAAGTGGAGGCAGAGAAAGAAAGAAGGGTGAGGCAGGAAGAAGATGGTGGGTGTGATGACGAGGAGGAGAAGGACGAGGAGGAGAAGTATGAGGAGGAGAAGTACGAGGAGGAGAAGGACGAGGAGGAGGAGCGAAGCTATGGCCTTTACCATACAGACATTGATGGCAGACTGCTGCCTCTCTGCAACCTCACCTCCCTCTCTCTCTACACATCCTTCCCTCCACTCATTGGCCACCTCACCCACCTCACCTCCCTCTCCCTCCCCCGCGTCTACGCATCATACCACGACCAACACCCCAACACCCCATCCTGCTCCCTCCACCGCGGCCTGTCTCGCCTCACTCGCCTGCAGGAGCTCTTCATTGGCTGCAGCAGCCGCTGCGACCACTCTGACACTGTCGCTTGTCGCTGTGGGAATTCTGGCTCCGCCTGCATTCCCCGCTTGCCCCGTCTGCGCCGCGTGCGCGTGCACTGCCCCGACGAGACCGTGAACGTGGCCCGCCTGCTCGCCAACGTGGCGGCGTCCCTGGAGCAGCTGGACGTGCGAGCCGACTACCGCAACTACTCCTCTGCAGATCTCGGATGGACGGCACTGGTGTTTCCAAAGCTCAAGGTGCTGCAGCTGGTGACCTCAGGGCCCGCTTCGTACGTGTACATGGCTCTCTTCCCTGCCCTAGAACACATGGCATTGGCAGGCAACCGCAGGGTGTCATGGGGGGTGGAGAAGGGTTTCTCTTCCAGCCTGCGCTTCTTGCACTTAACCTGTGCAAGGCTGTCTGGATTCTACAGTGACCCTCGGCTGACGCAGCTGACCTCGCTCACCACGCTGGTGGTGGACAACGCTGACTGCCGGGACTTGCTCGCATGCCTCTCCGCCTTCTCCTCCCTGCGCACCCTCCGCCTCTCCAACCTCACCAGGGGCTGCTCTGAGCCCTACCTCACCTGCCCCCCTCTCCTCGCCACCCTTCAGATCTGCCGCTCCGACCTGCCCCACCTCCCATCCTCACTCCTCAAATTCGCCCGCCTCAATCGCCTTGACTTGCTGCACTGGAGCTGCCTGCACTCCCTCCCGCGTTTCCTTTCATCTTTCACGTCGCTCCGCCATTTCAGAGTTACCTGCGATGGCCCCAGGCCCTTAGTGCCGGCATGCCTCGAATATTTTCTCAGGGACAGGGATTGGTACGAGTACTCGCCGTGTGTGTGGCAGCTTGAATAGAGAAGTTCAATGCTGTATTTATAAATCCCAGTAATGTAATTTCTGTTGATATGGTTCTTGCGGTATGTGTCTTACAAAGCAGGGCTTCAGATTGGTTTTAGGGCTGCTGATTGCTCAGGGTCGCCCGTGCGAGAACCCTGTTTTTCAGGGTCGGGTTTTGGGCGTGGCGAGTTTTGGGCGTGCCGACTAATCAGGCCTACATTTTTTTAGTTTCTGATCCTCACACTAATAGAGTGATTTTAGCGAAGGTCCAGTCACACTCCTCACACCTGCTCCAGCTCACCATCAGAATTTCTAGGCGGATGGTGGCTGTAGAGAAAATCTGGCAGAAAGGGGCAGTATTGTATAGAATGTACATCTTTGTAAATGCGAGTGAGGGTGAAAGAGGAAAACTGGAACGGGCTGGAAGAGTGGGACGGGCGGGTGGGGAAGCCACTATCGGGGATTGCATGGAGTGAAGTGGAGCTAGCTGGCGGCAGCAGCTTGCGGGTTTGGAGCCACCTGGCGGAGGATGGGAGAAGGTCGGGGATCGGCCGAACCTGGGATGATAGCTGGGGTTGGTTACTTTGTTTGTGCCGCTTTCGTGTGCAGGTGGCCAGCTGGACACGCAGGTTCATGGCAGGATGGATGCTGCTGATCGTCGATTGGCTGACAGGCCAGGCTGCCTCCCTTCTGCTCCAGCAGTGGGATGGGAGAGCTGTCAACCTATACATATACTGTTATGTAGAAGTTATAGGCTAGATAGGGTATGTTCTTAGAGGGTACAACCCAAATGCTATATCTCCCTTGTTCTCCCTTCCTCTAGTCATTCTTTCTAGTCTTAACAAGAGCTAGCTAGGTAGAGAGGTACAGGAGATGAAGGGGGAATATAGGCTTGTCGAGCGAGTGTAGTGTAGAGCCACTTTTTGTATGTTTTTGCTTTAGTTAAATTGTTGGGATTCACTCTGACAGAACTAGATGGCACCGACATAAACAAGAAGTGCTTGGTGAGAGTATGGTAGCTGGTTAGAAGGCTTTTCCATACATACAAAAAGTCTATGCCGCTACAATCTGGGAAGGAGTACGCGAAGGAGTGGGAGATGGTGAAGTATAGGTTAGAGGAACCGTCGCTCACAAGAAAGGAGGGTGAGCCAGTTGGAGGACAGGAAGATGTGGGCTCTCAGAGCGAAAGCCACGTCAGGGAACACTTGTCGAAGGAAGGCCCGCATGGCACAAATCCCGCTCCAGAGGAGGAGGGGAACGAGATGGAGAAGGAGTGGGCAGAAGACCTGAAACGGGTAGCGGCAGCAGCCAAAGAAATACCAGCGGAGTGCCTCCTGGCACGGGACAGCAGAAGAGGTCGGAGGGAGTTGCTGGCGATACACACAGCTGCCAAAAATTGAGGTCCCTGAACGCTTTTTGGGTGATGCGACGCGGGGGGCTAGCCTAAAAAACTACATCATGCAGCTGGAGAATGTGAAGGCGCGATGGGAGAAGGACGAGTTGTCACTAGAGGAGTTCTTTCGAGGACTCGCAAATACCTTGACCGGAGAAGCAGAGCCGTGTTACCGTATCTCTCATCGTGAACTGCTACAATGGACAGTGGGGGCACCGCCGGGAGAAAGGGACCCGAAAGAGATGTTCCTGCTGATGCTGAATGAGCTGTTTCCATTACACACGCCAGAGCAGGTGCGAGAGTTCCGGGATTTCAGGAGCTGTGTGGAAGAGTCCCTGCTCGCATACTACGGACGGCTAATAGAGCTCGGCGAAGATATGCACTGCCTGAACCAGTGGCGCCTGATCATCAAGTTCCTGGCGGGACTGAGTCCCGAGCTTTAGCAGGACGTACGGAGCAGAACCTTTGATATGGAATTTGGTGCCACATCACAAGAAGCATACGAGGTAGCACGGCGGGTGGAGACAGGCCGACGGCTCTTTGAAGCCGACCGACAACCAGAACGTCAGACAGATTGCAAGAGGCCCGCATGGGTGGCGACGGAAGTGTCAGAATCGAACGGATCGGAACGGGGTGGCAGTGAAGCCCGCAAGTGCCACAACTTCAGCCAGCTTGGACATTACCGTCCTGATTGCCGCAACCCGCCGGCCTGTTTAATCCGTGGAGAGACCGGCCACTTACGACGAGATTGTCCAGACTCGCCGACGTGCGCGAAGTGTGGTCGACAGGGACACAAGGAACACGATTGGTACTCACAGCGGAAAGGAAAACAAGCTCGGGGTGGAGCGGCAGAGTTCCGTGCCAAAATTGACAAACTACAGCAGCGGCTGGCTGAGCTAGAAGGAGGGGAGGAAAAGAAATCGGTCGTGTTTGCGCAAGAGGAGGAGGGAGGGAGCGATGGAGAGTTCGTGCTGATGGCCTGGCCAACACGAGAGTGAGAGGAACTGGGACTGCGTAGCGGAGGAAGGCGACTAGAGACACGGCGACCGCAAGGACAAGCAGCTCCACAAAGGCTGGCGGGGACCTGCCCATGGGCAGCAGCAGCAATATCATCAGACAGAACCAGTGGTACCGGGGCGGCAACACGAGGCCAGGGCTGCCTTCGAACTGCATCAACAGCAGCAAGGGCACCCGTGGACTACGGGCCAGCACCAGCCGGGCCCAGCAGCAAGAGCAGGGGCCTGCCCCCTTCCCCGGAAGAAGGGCGGACTCGGGAAGGGCCGGGAGCAGGACAACGGCGACGGCAACAACATCCGCTGAGTAGGGCGATTCCACATGGGTCGTGGTTTGGAGGTCCGGTGTCACAACAGCAACCCCCTCTGCAGCCAGTGCAGCATAATCAGATGCAAAACAGACATCAGTTGGAGCCGGGGCTCCGCCGGGTGGACGTAAATGCGTCAGGAGAGAACCATGCTTCTCAGCATGGCGGCCGGCTGCAGCAGCAGCAGCAGCAGTGGAGCCACCAAGATGTATGGGAAGGGGAGCTATAGTAGCAATGGCGACAGGGCGCTAAACAACGTGGGCCAACAATGCAGATGGTAGGGTCACAGACGACGCAAGGGCAGCCGTGGACCCGATAGTCGCCAGCCGATGGGCCTTGGCATGCCAGTTAGTAAGGCTGCGACATAACAGCACGGCCATGGTCTCGTGGCTGTATGCTTTTATAGGACTTCCAAACATCAATAAAACCCAATGGAAAACGGTATAGTAAAAGCATTCAAGATCCAAGACCCTAAGGACAGGAGTGTTCACAGGCTTGGATTATTTGTGCAGAACAACAACATCGTCTTCTTATTAGCTGTACAATGCGGACACCATTCAGGACGTAGCAACATCACTAGAGGTCACGGAATCTGGCGTGGTCGAGCCTGGAATGGCGCCCAATGCCCAACGCCAGTATCTGTGAAATATAGTCGCGTGAAACCCAGTGTGGGCCCTCTCGAATCCGCGAGGATCCATTTGCTATCACACGAAACCACGACGAGGTAGTCTGCTGAGAATGTGACAGCCGCGAGAACACGCGAGCCGTCGCGTACTCCCTCGTAATCCCACTTGCGGAGGCCATCACCTCCAGTAGTAACATGGGGGCTCTACACTCGCCCGTTCGCATCCGAACAAGTTTACAGTATAAGGTTGTGTGAATTCTCAATCAGCGTGGACATCAAACCCACAATTAAAAATGGAATGATGTTGCCAATGTCTCAAACGTTGCACCTCCCATGGAAAAAACATATCTAATATGGGTGAGTTTCTGACAGCAGGCTGTGCTGTCCTTAAAGGGCACGCAGACGCTCCGTGGGCAGATGATGTAGATACGATGAGGTCCTCCCAGGGCTATAGCTTTAGCCTACCGTGAGCGGCCTAGCTCTGCCCCAGTCCTGTACACTGTTTACACGGCCATGATCCTCCTGTATCTGGTCTCTTGGCTGGACGGCAGAGTGTAGCACATCCAGCTGCGGTACTTCCTACTGCGCATGCTACAGTACGGCCGCCAGACCCGCGTACTTCATTTGGCCTTGTGGCGCCTGATCTAGTGGCTGGACTTGTAGTGCCTATCAAAGTTAACAAATGACTAGAACCATGGCGTACAAGGGAATATAACCTAGTGGGTTGTACTCTCTAAGGCACAACCCTGTGTAGTCTATAACAACATACCAGGATATGTTTGACAGTGCCGCCCTGGGTTACTCAGGTTTCCTGTGTACTCCTCCAGAAGGTTCTTCTAACCTTTGCCTTAGAGGTTAGACTGTCGTGGCACTGGGATAACCCTGTCGATCCTCACTCTCTCTCTAGGGAGGGTACAGGGGAGGTTTTCCTCGGGGAAGGTGGATATGTGGGGCCTAACCCTCCTGATGACATCAGTGTCAACGTGTATGTACAGGTATACGTACCTCACTTTTGGTGAGTATGTCGCCTTGTCCGCCGGCTTTCCCCACCGAGGTCTCCCGGTTACCCAGTCGTTGCAATCCCTCCCAGAACAATGCAAGACAGTATTCATTGATAAAGGGGTATATAGAACAACAGGTGTGGCAAACATCTGTTTTGATGGTGCCTTGACCGACCGATTATAGTATTCGATAGTTTTACATGTACATCTTTTGCACGTCTCGCTGCAGGGAAGTTTCTGTTACTTGGGATACTTGGAGCTGCGCGAGTGACGCCCCAACACACGTACTCCCGCAAGATCCCGCGAGGGCCCACGGACCTATGCGGCCTAGTCAACCCCTGGCGATTGCCACTGCGACGGGCTCAGCGATGTCTTGTCAGGTGCCAATTGGCCTTGCGTGGTCACGCGTGACCCCGTAAGGTCTCGTTTACCCAGGTTTTGGTGGGTGTGCCAATGGGCCATGGCGTCGAGAGGCGTGTTCTGCGTAGTTCAAGCATGGTTGTCAATTACCAATACATTATAGAGCCATGCAGCAGTAGTGAAGGTGATGCTAACTTTTGAGGGAACCTATCCACAGTATTAATTTCCTATAACAAATGGCGAATACAGGACGGCATGTTCAGACCTGACAGCACATCCACCCAAAAAGAAACCTAGAAGGGGAACCCCAACAGCCTGGCGTGCGCACGATAGAGCGTGTCCGTTCGCACAAACGCCGGATTGATGATCCCTGGGGCTCAAACCCGCCCACACACAGAGAATGCAGCAGGCTGTAGCATATACAGTGACGGAAAAAACTGTCCGGATGTTTGGCATTAATTAGGTTTTTTAGGCTTTTCGACCACGGTACATAAAGTCTTAATGTTTAATGGCGGTACGCTTTTGGAGGGGCACATAGTGGATGTGTTCACAGCACTTACGTCCATAGTAGTACACTGCATCTAACTTAGTGCCAAAAGTTATACAAGGGGGTCATCCGGACAGTTTTTTCCCGGGACAAAGCGTAAACTTCCGAATAGGTTTCTAGTACCTAGTACACCGACCCTTGGCCTTGATCACCACCCGCACCCTCCTATGCATGTTATCTATGAGGTTAGTGCAAACCGTTGCAGAGATCTTCTTGCACTCTTCCTGGACCCTCCCTTTTGCATAAGGGGGTGAGCACTAGGAAAACCGCGAGGGATTTGAGTGTCTGCAAGTTTTTTGTGCACGATTTCTGTTTGAATGTTATGTATAAGACTAGCCACACTGAGGTATGACCAAAGATGCCATTAGCCGATTGGTTCCATCTTATCATGGGTCGTCTTCGTCGTACCGCTGTAGGGTAAAACCACGAACAGAGCGGCAAAAAATAGTGTATATGCCATGAAACTGAGGGTGACGTAGCACGGTTGATTATTCATCCTTGCACTATTAGAATCACGCTAGGATCTGCATGTCTCATCACTGTGTAGCATTCAAAGAAGTTGCGACCGTTGTGGAAGAATATCCAAGTTGAGGTCAGGTGAAGAAAAGGGCCACTCCAGCACATCCAGAAACCTATTCGGAAGTTTACGCTTTGTCCCGGGAAAAAACTGTCCGGATGACCCCCTTGTATAACTTTTGGCACTAAGTTAGATGCAGTGTACTACTATGGACGTAAGTGCTGTGAACACATCCACTATGTGCCCCTCCAAAAGCGTACCACCATTAAACATTAAGACTTTATGTACCGTGGTCGAAAAGCCTAAAAAGCCTAATAAATGCCAAACATCCGGACAGTTTTTTCCGTCAGTGTAAGTTGTGGACTTATAATATAACATTGGACGTGTATTGCTTCTGCGTTTGGTGAGCATGTCCCATACCTTCTGTGGCATATCAGGGCAGGGCGTCGTTGGGATTAGCAGCCACGACACCACCATTGCCGCTACCGGCCCTAGTCGGCATGCCATGCTCTCTGTCAGGGCCCAACAACGACGCGGCCGGATGCTGGTCAGCAGAAGCGGGGTTCTCCCATGACGGCTGGACAGGTGGTGGCGCAGAGTTTAATGCAGATGTGCCGGTCTATGCCACAGGGGTGTGTACCTGGGAACGAGTGGTCGGGAGGGGGCCGGCTGTTACCGGCAGTAACTCCTCCACCGGCGACACGTGGTGCTGCACTGGCTCGGCGGACAGTGGGATGGTGGGATTTGGGGGGGGTGGTTGGGTGACGACTGGAGCAGCACCGGTGTCGGTCGCGGGCTGCTGGCGGACGCTCTGGTGAGAGCTGGCTGCAGCCGCTGCGGCAGGAGCGGCAGGGGTGGTGACGGTGGGGGGAGCCACATCAGGGGGAGGCACAGCGGGAGTGGTGGATGGCAAGTCCGTCTGGGCTGCCGCACGCTGGCATCCTGTGGCCTGCGATCCAGCAATCTCTTCCGGGTGCAGCTCCTTCCTCCAATCACGCCAGGCCGAACATTTCCTCAGATGCAAGAGCTCCTGCGCCGCTTCCATCGGCATCCGGGCCAGCAGGGCCCGGTCCTCAGCCGAGAGAACCCTCACTTTCCCACGCTTAAGGGGCCTGTCCCTCCGCCACCTGTAAGCTGCTGCAGCAACTCCGTCTGCGGCTGCCTCTTCCGAGTAGGACAGCCCTAGCTGATGGGCATAGTTGCGAGACAGATCCAGCGCTACATAGCCCGCCCAAAGCCCAGAGGTGTGAAGGCCGACACCCGTGTACGCCAACGTCCGGACGCGTGCGCTGCCACCCACAGTCCGTTGGGAAACAGCATCCCCCTCCGTGTCGGGCATTGTGGATCCCGCAGCCGCGGAGGGTGCTGGGACTTCCCCACGCACGGTCTCCGGTCCCGCAGCTGCTTGTAGCACCTGTCCTATGACTAGTTCGGCACGCTGCACCGCCGAGGGGTCCAGCGGGCCCACATGCGCAAAGGCTGCCATTTCAGGATGCACTGGTGCCGTTGGAGGCTTGGGGGCAGGGTCGTGCGGTGCAGAGTGGCTGCCGCCCGCTCTTTCAGGGCTGTGTGGCACAGGGGCTGTATGCACAAGGCTGTCGACGACCGCCCTCAGCTCCCCCAAACATCTTTCCACTGCGTCGATGCAGCAGTGAAGCGTGGAGTGACCTGACTCGACATCGCGCATACGGGAGTTGATGTCGTTGAAGGTCTGGTGCTCTTGGCTGAGGGCACAGTTGATGTTGTACAGGTCGTTAGCCAGGTCCTTCAGCCTCCTGTCGACCACTGGATCCGCTACAGCCAGAGGGGGTGGCTCTGGTCGCCGGGCTTGGAGCTCGAACTGCGCCTGGAGCTTGGGAAAAATATCGCGCCAGCCGCAATGATGACGAAATTGGGCTGGCGCGAGCGGGAAAACGTTCCTCGACGGCCGGGGGTTACTTCTACTGACTATTCGTGGAACTTTTTTCCTGCAGTTTCTGACTAACGATGGAACCCGACTGATTAAACATGTTACAAACTCGCTAATTCTGATTGTTCATATCGTGTCACTGACCGTACATGTTATCGAGGCCCCTAATACTCAGCGCCGGTTTACTTTCCCCATGCTATACCTCCCGCGCAAAAAGGGTCGACCGTTTTGAACCAAACTTGATTTTCGTCGAAGCGCGCGATTTCCTCGCCGCATATGGATGGGTTCTTAGAACGCGTAAGGATCGGTTCGTAGCACGCATAGCGTATCGTGGTTCGCGTCGACGTCCGTCGTCGCATCACGTCATGCCTCGATATCGTCCCGTCGTCTGTTCCGTCAAGCTGCTCGCCCTGCTGCTCACTGCCGTCGCCGTCACTCTTCCCTTCCTCACCTTCCGCCTGCCGCCTCTCGACCTCCCCGCACTCGCCGCTCGTCGCGACCTCCGCCGGTTCTTCCGCGCGCCTCCCCGATCCCAGCAACGTTTCGATTATCGTCCATCCGCGCTTGTCCAAACCGAGCAGCCCTTCGAGGCTCGGCAATCCGAGCCTGTTATAATCGAGCCGCCTTCGCACGGAGTCGTCGATTCGCTGAGAAATCTCGGGCCAGGGAATGGACGACTCGCAGTTAGCTCCGATTCTGGCGGGAATCGCGGCGGTGCTCACGGGAAGACGAAGCTGCAGGGGGGGCTGGCATGCGTGGAACTTTGGAGAAAGTTCCAGGAATTGCAGCAGGCGATGACTGACCTTCAGGTCCGTTTGTGACTGTTCGAGCAAGCTTGGTCTTGTGGGAAGCCTGGTCTTTCAGAAAACGTAATTTTGTGAGTATCTTGGTCTTCTAGCAAGCTTCACATTGTGGAAATCTTGGTCCTCCGGCAACCTTGGCCCAAGTGCGTTCACCGTGTTCGTCTTTAGCGGCTCGTTGCCACATTGCTCGTTGCAAAACATAGCATCAAACGTGTTCTTTTTAAAACCGTGTAGAATACACGCAGCTGTTTGTTTTTATCTTGAGCCTCTTGCGTGACAGACAGCTGCTCGTTTCCCTTGCAAATATTCTTCCGTCTCGCGTTTCAGGCGAATTATTCACAGCTCGCTCTGCAGCATTCGGCTCTCACGTCGGCGCATTCAGCCCTTCAGTCGCAAGCACAGCAGCAGCAACGCACCATCCAATCATTGCCAACGCAATCAGCAATTTCCGGTCCTGCAGAGGACCAACCGATTCCAGCCGGATTGAGGGCAGACGGGGTTCGTGAATCAACGCCAGAGTTGGCGAGTGCTTCTAGGGGGCGTTCTTATAACGGGCCTGCTGAAGGGCCTGAGGCGGCCAGAGGAGGAGTTTCCTCCGGTGTAGTAGCACGTGGGGCTTTCACAGAGGGGTCAGTGTTGCCGGGAAAACCAGAACCTGCGGATTCAGAGTCGGTTGGGGGGGGTTTGGAGGGTGACTGCGAGAGTGCACTGATGGCGTGCCAGCAGCAGCAGGAGCTGATGAAGTTAGCCGGGGGGGATGGGGGGGACGGAGGGGAGGGAGGCGAGGGGGGAGGCGGCGATGTGCTGCAGGAGCTGGCAGCGGGGATGAAGAGCCTCGAGGTGTCGTTCCGCCTGGCGCTGGTGAGTGGCGTGACGGGGGCAGTGGGACCGGCACTGACAGGCAGCAATAGATACAGGCGGCATGAGGGTTGAGGTGGAAGGGCTCAGCTGGCAGCCGGCATGAAGGGAAGAGTCTTGAGGCGTCGTTCCGCCTGGCGCTGGAGAGTGAAGGGGGCAGTGAGACGGGTACAGGCAGCAAACGGGATGCCCAGCAGAAGGGTTGAGGTTGGAAGGCTCAGCTGGCAATCGACATGAAGAGCCTCGAGGCGTTGTTTCGCCTTGCGCTGGTGCTCTGCTCCCCCTCCCACGCCCTCCTTCCTTCCCTCTCCACTCTTAGTTCGTCAACCCAACCCTCTCCCTCTCCCCACCCGTGTGTCCGCGTGCATGTATGTGTGCGTGTGTTTGCCCACATGCATGTGCCTCCATCCATACATGTGCGTGTGTGAGTCCGTGAGGGGAGCATCCCAACAGTGGAAGGAGGAGCATTGCCAGGCCAATCAGAGCGCGCTGAGGTGGACCAATCAGATGCTCCGGCACGACGTCTCCCACCTGAGGGCAAAGCTAGAGGCGTGTGGCACGAGTGGCAGTCTGCACTCGCAGCATCAACTGGAGGGAGGGGGCAGAAGCCAGGGCAGTGGGAGGGGGTGGAACGGAAGTGAGGGCAGTGGGGAGGTGTGGGACAGGGGAAGGGGTGGAGAGGAAAGCAGGGGTGGCGGGAGGGACGAGGCGCTTGAAGGGAATGCGCATGATGGTGCTGGCGAGGGTCATGGGGGCGCTGTGGGTGCGACGGAGCGAGCCCTCTTGACTCTGTGGGAAGCTTCCCCGTCCCTTCAGCTGAGAGATGTGCACAGCGCTGCTGTGCAGGAGGCGCTGAGAGAGCTGAGGCGGGCAGTGAGGGGCGAGGGGGAGATGAAGGAGGGGGGAGGGAAGGAGGGGGGAGGGAAGGAGGGGGGAGGGAAGGAGGGGGGAGGGAAGGAGGGGGGAGGGAAGGAGGGGGGAGGCGAAGAGGCAAGGGAGAGAGAGGGGCGGAAGGGGAGACAGTTTGAGACTCTGGGTGTGGGTGGAGGGAATGTTACGGTAGCGGGGGAGGAGGTGTGGTTGAGTGAGGAGGAGGAGGAGCGGTTAGTGCCTGCAGCACCGCATGTGGAGGACTGTGAATCGCTGGCCAGGGATGTCAGGTTAGTGGTGGTGCGAGTAGGTGCATGTGAAGTATGCATGGGCATGCGCGTGTGTGCGCGCATGTGTATGTGCATGTGCTGAGAAAACATGAGGAGCATAAGCAACTGCGGCTGGTGCCTTCAGCACTAAGTTGGTACCTTACGTGACTTTAGCCCACGTACACGTAAAGTACGCGTAACTTTACGTGTACGTTACGTTACGCGTACGTTACGTGTACGTCGCCGGGCAGGCCTCAAAATTTTTTCCCGGGCAAAAATTTCCCCCTAAGAAAACGCGATTTGCAGCTACTACTAAGCTGTTCAGGGCTAAGCTACGGCTGATGCCTACGCTTCGCACTGATCCACCCCATCAATCTAAGTCGCAACTTAATTCGTTGCGCTGATAGTATCCGCGCTCCTCATAGTCGTAAGATGCTACGTAGTCTAGACTTGATTGTCGCTGGAGTAAGGTTAGCGATTGGCATTCGTCGACAGGGGAAGGAGAAACACATGTCGAGGGGGGTTGGGTTGGGTCAGGTAGGGGTTGTTCATTGGCTGGTTGGATTGCCGGCGCACCAAATTTGACACGCACCAGCGACGAGATTTCGCGCATGCGGAATTTCGCCAAACAATTTTGTACTTTCGTCGCACCGCACTCGTGATAATCTTCTACTGTACTAGAAGATCAGAACCTACAAACGTTTTTACAAAAAGTCGACTTTCCATCCCCCCTCATTTTTTCCCTTGGGCAGCCTAAAAAGTTTTTGGCTGCCCGTACATGCAGGCCAAAAACCAGAATCGCGTTAACGTACGTAAACGTAAACGTAATGTAAGGAACCAACTTAGCTTCAGCAGCACCCCATGTGGAGGTCTGTGACTCACTGTCCCAACAGGTCAGGTCAGTCATGTATGCATGTGGGTGTATGCATGTGACTGTATGCATGTGGGTGTATGCATGTGACTGTATGCATGTGGGTGTATGCATGTGACTGTATGCATGTGGGTGTATGCATGTGACTGTATGCATGTGGGTGTATGCATGTGACTGTATGCATGTGGGTGTATGCATGTGGGTGGATGCATGTGGGTGTATGCATGTGAGTGTATGCATGTGGGTGGATGCATGTGGGTGTATGCATGTGAGTGTATGCATGTGGGTGGATGCATGTGGGTGTATGCATGTGGTGGATGCATGTGGGTGCATGCATGTGCTTGTACGTAACTCCTACAAGTGCATGAGGAACGCCGCCGGCAGTGCCTGGTGATGGCTAGGGATGTTGGGTCAGTCGCGTGCTCAAGTCCATCCATCCATCACCAGCTGTTCCATGGTGCATGCATGCATGCATGCATGCATGGAGCATGTGCTTGCACACCTCACCTCATCCACTGGTTCGTTCTCTAGGTTCCTTGCTTCCCCCCATGCCTCCTTGTCCAACAACCTGAATCACCCACCCGCCTCTCTCACCCTCCACCCTTCCGCCCCCAACCCACTTCTCCCCGTGCTGTGGCTCCTCTCGTTCCTCACCCCCTACACTGCTTTGCATTCTCACTCCTCCCACCTTCCTGTGGCCTGTCACCCGTCCTAATTGCCTTCAGTTGTTCTCAGACGAAGCTTGACGCTCCATAAAGGGTTGCTGCTATCCCCACCCTTTCATCGCCTGCCCTTGAGTCTGCACCGTTTTCCTGCTTTTCTGCCCATTCCAGCCTTCTCGATTCGCGGTCTGCTGACGGGGCGCTCCCCGATTGGTCGCTTTGGGGCGGCAGGCTGGCATTAGTGGCACAAAGATTGGAGGAGAGGGAAAGGGAAAAGGTGAGGAGGGAGAGAGCAAGGGAAGGAGAGGGGCGAGGGGATACGGAATCAGAGGTAGCGGGGCCAGTGCAGGAGGAGGAGAGACAGCTGAGGAAAGAGGAGCAGGCGCGGTTAATAAGGCAGGAGGGGCGGGAGAGGTCACTCGAGCATGAGGAGGAGGAGAGGCAGTTGGAGCAGGAGGAGCAGGCGAGGTCGCTGGAGCACGAGGCGCTGCGGCGGCAGGTGGAGGAGCGGATGAGGGAGCGGGTGGGGGCGAGCCAGGAGGAGGCGGAGGTGGCCGCATGGATGGCAGCAGCACGGGACGAGCAGCTCATGGGCGCCAGCAGGAAGACTGTTCTCGGGCCGTACCCGCCCTGGGTGAGAGCTTTGGGTCAGGTGCCTTGTGTGTGTGTGCTCATAAGAGCCGGCATGGTTGGCAGCGGGAGGAGACGGGCAGCCGATAGGCGGTCTGCATGCGGACTCAAAGTGCACACACGCACACACCCACACACCCACACCCACCACACACACACACGCACACACTCACACACACAAGCACGCACACACACACACGCACACATACACACCATGCTGTCTATCCCCCACCGAATATCAGGATCAGACGAAGGCAACCTAACCACGAACGACCCGTCGTGCCGAGAAAATTATCTGGGTGCAGCAGCACTCAAGGGACTGCTCACACCACATCTCGCGCTGTGTGTTTATGCCTCTCTCTCCTGCACACTCTCTCATGCTCTCTCTCTCACTCACGCACGCGCACGCACGCACACACGCACGCACGCACGCACACGCACACGCACACACACACACACACACACACACACACACACACACACACACACACACACACACACCATGCTGTGTATCACCCACCAGGTGGCAGGAGCAGACGAGGGCAATCTGGTCATGACCCGCCGCGCGCAGCGGGACATTTGGGTGCAGCAGCACCCCACGGACTGCGCCCACCCCTCAGTCAAGTTTCTTGTGGTGGACGTGCTGAGGAAGGTCCGTGGAAGGTTCCTGGGCGTGGGCGCGCAGGTCAACTGGCTGGCGGGCGTGCTGGGGACGGCGGTGGGGGAGGGGCGGGTGGTGGTGGTCCGGCACTACCACCGGGCGGATCATGACGGGTGCACTGGTGGGTGACACTTGAAAGGGAGGATGATGGCATTGCTGGGAACGGCGATGGTGGAGGGGCGGGTGATGGTGGTCCGATACTACCAGCGGGCGGACCACAAGGGGTGCACTGATGGGTGACTTGCAGTGCTGGGAGGGAGGGTGCGAGTATATCACGGGCGTGCTTGGGGACAGCCATGGGGGAGGGGTAGGTGATGGTGATTTGTTATTATCACCGGGCAGACCACGAGGGGTGCACTGATGGGTGACTTGCAGTGCTGGGAGGGAGGGAGGGTGAGAGTAGAGTAAGGGCTGCTGGGGATGGCGATAGTGGAGGGACAATTATGAAAGGGTGGGTATAGAAGATGGGCGTGTTTGAGGGCAAGATTTTGGGATCTCGTTACTGTCACATATGGGGTGTTTCGAATGCACTGATGGGTAGGAGAAGTGGCTCTGCTGATGCAATAGGCTCCTTGACTTGCATTAGGCCCATTTCTCATCGCATCAGTGTTGCTGCTTCCACCAGGCGGGGGGTGGGTTGGCTGGATGTGCGTGAACCATGATATCCGTTGCCTTTCTCCCTCACACTCTCACGCTGCTCCCTCCTCCATCCATACCCGCACCCGACCTTCCCGTCATCGCCCCGCCTCGCTCTCTCCCATCCCCATCGCCCAATAGCATGTCGACAGGTGTCCATAGAGGCCTGTGGTCCTGCTACTTTGTGCCAGAGACCTCCCCTGAGTGCCGCCAGCAGGCCCTGCAGCTACTGCACTCTACCCACCCCAGTCACGCCTCCCCCACTCTCGCCTCTCCTCTGGGAAATGGCTCCTCTGGTGGTGGTGGCAGCGGTGCTGCTGCTGGGAATAATGCGAGTGACAGCAGCGGGGGGGATTGGAGTGCGAGGAGGGTGACTTTATGGAATGAGTACCTGGACAGCAATAAGACCAATTTCTTCACCATCAACTATCCTACGTGAGCACAATAGGACCGACTTCTTCAAGGAGTGGTCTAGTGGATTGTGTGCACGCATGTACCTTTCTGCACGTTCATCTACCTCCCCGGTGTATTTCGCCTATCGTTTGATGTGTTTCATGTATAGTTTGATGTGTTTCATCTACCTCCTAGTGCGTTTCATGTCATATAATGTCTGTTTGCAGCCCATTCATTTCACACATGCAGCTGATCCATGTTCAAAATGCTTGTGTTTCGCTTGGTTGCTGCTGCAGCATATGGGGTAATCCGTGGAAGCACATGCATCCGACGGTGGACGTGCATGGAAGGCTCATTCGATGGACAGCGTTCAATCGCCACCGTTGGTGGTTCGCCCAGGTGTGATCTCAACCATCCCTAGGCGCCTCTGCCCTGCTGTTGTGTTCTTTCCTTCCAGGCTCTGCGTTCTCGACCCTTTGTATACACAGATTGCCTTCGCACGCATTCCAGAAATCTCTCTACAACTTTCCAGCAGGTATTTTCTCCTTTCCTTGCCCAGGCTTGCTGCTTTTCACCCTCTCTTCGAACCACCTCCACTACCCGAGGCGTCCTCTTACTCAAAGTCCTACATTCTCTTCTCTCCTCTCTACTCCTCTCCTCCCCCACTCTATCCCCCACCACCCCAGGCGTCTACCTACCTCATGCGCTACCCCTCCCCCCGTCTCTGCCTGCTCCTCAATCGCGCCCGCCACCACGCCTTCGGCCCTTCCCTCGCCGCCCGGGCAGCCCGCTTCCTGCCTGCCGATTGGCCGAAATCCGTCGAGCAGCTGCCCGGTTTCACCGCCCGAAACGCCCTCGGGAGCGAGGGGAAAATAGAGGAAATCTGGCGGGCGACTGGCGGGGGTGTACATGGTAGTAAAGGGGCGCCTCCAGGCGGACATCTATCAGGAGGAGGAGCATATCTGCCGGAGGGGCTGGTGGCGGTGCATGTGAGGCAAGGGGACAAGGCAGGGGAGATGGCGATTGCAGGGCTTGACGTGTACCTGGCGCTGGCGGGCAGGGTGAGGAGACAGTTCCCCTATGCCGACTCGGTGTGGCTCAGCTCAGAGATGCAGGTGGGTGGGTGGGAGGAGAGATGCAGGTGGGTGGATGGGAGGAGAGATGCAGGTGGGTTGATGGGAGGAGAGATGCAGGTGGGTGGATGGGAGGAGATATGCAGGTGGGTGGATAGGAGGAGAGATGCAGGTGGGTGGATGGGAGGAGAGATGCAGGTGGGTGGATGGGAGGAGAGATGCAGGTGGGTGGATGGGAGGAGATATGCAGGTGGGTGGATGGGAGGAGAGATGCAGGTGGGTGGATGGGAGGAGAGATGCAGAAATACAGGTGAGCACAATCTTGCCACCTATCAATCGAAAGCAAGTTTTCATGCTCTCTCGCCACACTGCACTGCACAGTGTACGTCTCCCTCTCTTCCTCGTCTCATGCATGGCTCCACCAGTCACTCGTTCGGTTGCTGGCTTTGTTGTCTGCAACCAGTCACAGTTGCTCATTCTGAACCAGCTCTCAGTTTCCCCCCTCCCTTCAGTCTGTTATCGACTCCACCAAGCACTACACTCGCTGGCTCTTCCATGCCACGGACTTTCCCAGGCAAGCGCTGGGTGAATCCATGGATGCATACGACGCACGGGTGGGCGAGCAAGCGGCCACAGAAAATGCCTTCGTGAATCTTCTTATATCTGCGGATGCTGAGTTCTTTGTGGGCACCATGGGGTCGACGTGGTCCGTTCTGATTGAAAATCTGCGCGTGGCTGGGCGGGGGAAGGCGCGGATTGGAATGCTGAGTGTCAATAGGGACCGGTACTGGTTCGGGGAAACGTGGGAGATATGGAAGGACTTGTACAGGAATATCACTGTGTAAAGTCTTTGTACCGGTATTCAGTTGTTCGCACTTTTAGAAAATCAAAGCTTGTAGATGTGCCTAGGAGGACACAACAGAGCTCTTCAGATCAACTGTAACAGTCCAAGGATAATCATTCAAGCTGCATACAGCCTAGAAAACAGGGGAGCTCTACAGAGTATTGCCAATTTGCCAAAGCACCAGGCCTCAGGATATCAGGGTAAAATGCCCTTACGACCATTACCGTAATCACCCGGATAGACGCCCCTCCGTGGGATAAGTCCCATGGGCGTTATCTCGTGCTTTGGGCCTTATAGCTATTGTTTGATTGCCCCGTATATATCACCCTAGGGACTCTTTGAAAATTCAGGCAAATTTCTTACAAGTGCATTTATATGGCCGGAAATAGTTAGGACCCTAAGACATCTATTTTATACAGAGGTGATTTTTTTATGGCTGTACAGTCAGAACTCTTGTTTTGACAAGGGGTTCTGCAATTGTGACGCGAGCTATCCCGAGGCCACGCGCCACCTGTAAGGACCCCGATGGCTGCCAACACACTGCTTCTGAAAGGCTGTTGGCAGCTTGACTGCCAACACTCATCTTTGCTGCAGTGGAGGCACGTTTATAGAATCGAGCAGAAGATTTCAACTGTGAATGGTCCTTTTGCCAGTGCTGCACAGCTTGACAACCCTCTTGAGCGCCTCCGTTTCACGTCTCTCCCAATACCGGCTTCAGAGGGGGGTAGTCGCAGCGAGCCCTAGTCATTTCCATTTTCTTCCACGGCTAGAAATCCAGCAGCCAAAGCCTAGGGATGGCATCTTCCTTCTCCTCCCTAGCTCCGGTTATCCCTTCGCCACTGGGATCATGTCGGCTTTACAGTTTCTGATGCATAGTCGTCTGGCTAGAGCAAACCGATCCTACGCCTGTCAGTCAAACTCTCCCGCAGCTCCATCGCCTCCTGCTCCACCGGCGCCTCCTGCGCCTCCCGCTCCCCCGGCCCCCCAGCGCCGCCAGCGCCGCCTGCTCCACCTGCTCCACCTCCCCGCTGAATCTGACGCAGATGAAGGCAGTGATTTGCGCCGCATTTTCCCTGTCCCGCGCTTCCCTCCTGAGATCCTTCGCGACGTCGACGCCTCCGACGCCAACCGCGATGGAAGAGCTCCCACTGCCCGCAACAAGCCGAATCTGCACAAGCGCGTGAACCGCACCATCGCGGAGAAGACGGAGTGGCTGGAGTGGATGCGGTCTGATAAGCTTTCCATCCGCGCTGCTGCACACCTCGCTGGCGTGCAGCCCGTCAGCATTCGCCGATGGCTGAAGTCGGAAGAGAAGATGAAGGCAGAAGCCCCGTGCCATCGACGTCTCGTAGGCGGCGGCCGGCCTGCAAAGTTCTCCGACATGGAGTTGAGTGTGTACAAGAATTTCCTATCCCATCGCTCCCGTGGACTCGCTCTCCCCATCTCTCTTTTGCAGCACTGGAGTCGATCTTACATGAAGAGCCATCATCCTGCAGTTGACTGGCGTGCTTCCTCGCGCTGAACCTTTTCCAAGTCACTTTCCAGGTTCAACTTGTGGTTGCGCATGTTGTGCAGACTGCTGGTCGTGAAGACGGCTTCACTTCGGTTCCATTCGGTAAGAGCAAACTGTTTTTATCAAGAACTGAAGCTCGGATGGTATGGTTAAGTATTCCCGGTGAAGGATGTCCTAACCTTTGATGCCAAATGTCTTCGGTTGCTTTGTGTCTTGTTGATCACAGATAAAAATCGACGTTAGTATAAAAAGAAGAAACGATGAAAGGAGAAAACGCTGGTGATTTGTTGAGTTCGCCAGGAACGAAGCGAGTAAGAGGTAACTTCGTGGTTGTAATTTCCACATCGAGAACTTCTTCCCGTTGAAGAACTAATTCCCCTTCCTCAATTTCTATTTCTGTTAAATCTGCTACAGGCTGACCGACGAGAATCCCTGTTTCTACCTCACCGCTACTCTGCTGCTCTGCTTCCTCTGCTTCACTGCTGCTGCTGGGTCCCCAAGGTCCTGTAGTATGTTCTCAAGTTGTTGTAAAGTGTCGTAATAGTTCCTCCATACTGATGTATCTTCCTCGGCTGTGTTTGTGGGCCGGGAATCAAGAGCCGTGATAACCGCTGCTGCTATACGAGAACCTGTTGGAACTGCAGTTGCTCGGAAGTCGATGTCAAAGTTTTGGAAGTCAGTTTCTTATGGATGTTGCCAAGGTCCAAGAGATAACACTCTCTCGGAAGATCCAGTAATACCTTGCAACTCGAATTGAAGAACGGAGACCCCATAGTGAGTGGCGGCTCTTCCGATGTAAGTATTTGATTCATTATGATAAAGTTCTTGGTCCATTGTCTCACAGTTTCCTTGTGTCCTGATCTTATGTCGTAGAAGCTGAGCCGTTGAAAGGAGATTAAAGCCAAGTCCTTCGATGATGAGAACATTCGTAACGTGTAAGGAAAATCCGGTGTTGACAGAATCCAGCATTACACTTCCAATTGATCTTGCCAATATTGTTTGTCCATTTGCAACTGTGACAGGAACTGGACGTCGAAGCGGACGTTGATGAGTGATGAAGAGCATCTCGGCACAACACATGTGTTGACCGCAGCAACAGTCAAGATACCAAGTGTTGGGTCCTGCAATGACTCAAGCAAGGTTAGCATAAACTTGAGGTAAAACCATATTCTCAGGTTGCGTGATAGAACTCTACTCATCTTCATCGTCGAAATCTGAATCTGTTGCATGAACTGTTGTAACGCAGCTAAAATTTTGTTTTCCTGATGTTGCAGGAGTTGTTGTCGATGGATTCTGCTTCACGGGTTGCTTGAACTACTGCGACTGCTGTTGCACTCCTCTTTTCATATCAGCGTGAAGCTTGTTGCAAAATTTTATACTGTGTCCATCTCTTTTGCAGTAGTGGCAGAAGTATTTGTTGACGTGTTTCGTAGGCGTTGAATAAAAACTGATGTTGACTGCTCCTTTCTTGTTACGTGCTGATTGCAGGTCAAGATCTTGCTACTCTGCTTGAAGGATTGAGCAGAAACCTGCTTCCGAAAGATTGGGTTGAAGACGAAGAAGGGATCGACACTGCCGCCATTCTGCTCCAAGGCCGGCAAGAAGGACTGTGACAAACATGTCCATTGGGAAGTATCCGCCGCACTTTTCCAATCGATCACGAAGTGTTCGAGCCCTGTTGACATAATCCGAAACGTTCTCGTTGCCCTGCATCTGTACAGTTGTCAGTTGTGAGAGAATTTTACTCACGAAAATTGTATCCTATGCCATGTATAATCCCTTCAAATGCTTCCACGCAGATTCAGTTGGAGTCAAGCTTGTGTGAAGTGAGCGTATACCGAGCTGCTCTTTCAGCAAAAGATTGCGGATAAGGTCGGTGTAAGCGCTGAGTGAAGCATGAAGAAAACTCTGTTGTTCCATCTGTGTTCCCGTAACAGGATACGAATAATCGCCACTGAAGAACGGCCACAATCCAGCGGATTTCGTGAGAATTTCGAATTCGAAACTCCAAGCGTAGAAGTCAGTGCCATTAAAAGGTATGGTTGTCTTGATCTGTGTATTGCTCAAAAGATTCGAGGCCTGACAAACAGGTCCAGTAAAAGAAATCTGCTGCTGCGGAATTTGCTGTTGCGGTTGCTGTGGTTGCTGTTGATGTTGCTGTTGTTGCTGAAACTTTTGTTGCGCTTGCTGCTATTATTGAAGAAATTGAAATTGTTGGTGTTGAGCAGGTATAAACGAAAACGAAGAACTGGAACTTGGAGCAGCTGCAGCTCTTGCATAGCTGGAGCCATCGATACTCATACCACTAAAGGCTGCTGATATTGATGTTGCTGCTTGTTGCTGTAATGTTGCAGGTACAGAGGAGGAAGTCCCCGGTGGATGCACAGCAGGCATTCCTTGCTGCTTTTGCGGCATCCCAATTGAAGAATAAGCAGGTGGAAAATTTCCAGCTGCAGAGTCACCTGCTTGACCAGTGAAGACTGTAGGATTTGTTACACCCGTGGGTCCAAATGTTGAAGAAGCAGACATTGGAGATGATGATGGTCCAGTCATTGTTGACAGTAGTCTTAATTCTAGATAGCTCTCATACCATGAAAGAATTTGAAAGGTGGTGCAGAAGACTAAGTATAGAATCTGCAGACTTAACCAAGGATCTTTGCTGGAATAGTAGACTAGTAAGACAGTGGAAGTCTTAGAACTTGTAAAGTGTTGATCAAAATTACTGAAGAACAAGTTGATAATTGAAGTTGTACAAGCTACTTTTATATCTACTAGAAGTACCTATTCGGTGATGTACTTGTTCGAGCTATTTGCGCTATGCGCTCTAACCGCTATTGAAAAGAGCGCGACTGCTCGCGTGACTGAAACGGCTTGCTAAGGTAATCATCCAGATGAGCGCAATTTGCTGACGTCATTCTATGGATGCTATCTACAGTGTAACTCGACAATATCTATCGATTACAGAAATGCAAGTATGATTTTACCACAACAGATTGAAATACATCGATAACATCATTGCAACAGCATCTATTCTGGGAATAGCCGAAAACTACTGGCAGCCTACCACTACGGTGCTACGGCTACTGCTGCTGCACTACCTACACTACAACCTACATTAGAAATGAGCCCTATACTAGACTATGCTGCCGCCGCCTGCCTACTCAGAGTCAAAACTAGCAGTTCCAACCTCCTCAATGTCTTCATCACTGTCAGTCTCTGGAACTTGGACCTTCTTGCGCTTGCTTTTCCTCCTCCAGATTGGGCCAGCCGCTCCATCCTCTTCGAACACTCTGGCTGCTTCTGCCGCTCCTAGTGCCTCTGCCTATTTGGCAGCTTCTGCTGCTGCCTTTGCTGCTGCCTTTGCCGCCTTCGATGCCGCCGACGTCTTTGGCCGCTTCACCTGTCGCGCGCTCTGATCCATGACGAATTCCCTTGCAATCCGCCTCTTCTTCGTGGCATGCCAACTAGCCACCATACTTCCCCAGTCCATCTGGTAGTCCAGCAGCGACACCGTCATGAAGTGGCCTAGCTTCGCATCACCGAGATT